CATGTCAAACTCGCGGCCCACAGTGAATATTTTTGTGGCCCAGCCAATATAATAGTATGTAAGAAACATTGAATAAAAATTTCATAACTTAATTTTTACAGTATCCCGTTACACATAATCCTATATAATAAAAGGCTAATATGCAAATCAACCGAACAGCAGAACAATCTGTTGCCATGACACACACTGACAACCAGGGGACAGATGCTCAACGCAGGAGCTGTCCCCTGGTGGTCAGTGCGCTCCCACAGGGGGAGTGCTGCTCAGGCAGAAGCCGGGCTCACGGCTGGCGTGTGCAGCAGTGGTGGCAGGAGCCTCTCCTGCCTCTGCAGCAGCGCTAAGGATGTCCCGACTGCCAGCCCCCAAGGGCTTCCAGACTGCGAGAGGGAGCAGGCTGGGCTGAGGGACCCCCGAGTGCACGAATTTCATGCACCAGGCCTCTAGTTATTAATAACGAACTACAAAGTTTACTAATGACTGATTACTATAATCATGTTGCATTAATTTCCCTTGTATGCCTTACAAGCAGGCGCACCATTTCTCTCCACTAATACTAGCAGTGAATATTTTAGCAGCCGTTTGCCATGTCATTAATCTTGGACTAACTTGTTTGGTGTGTGGAACAGGAAGTATTCCGCTTTCAGAGAACAAGAAAAATAGGTTTATTTGCATTACGCTTATTAATTTGTGCAGTTATTCAATGTCTGGTAAGTTAATGTTCAAGAAAAAATATTTTTATTAAAATGTTCCATTATTTTATGTTAACGATTACTCATTTATTTCAGCCCTTTGTATCCCGCATGTCTCTATCGAAATAAACCTATGTTTTTATGAAAATTGAAGCTTTTGTTTTTAGGCGGCCCACATGAACTTAAACCTTATTTGGCCCATGTTAGCCTTTGAGTTTGACATGCTTGTCCTAGAGCAAAGGAACGAGTAAGGCTGGCATGATCCAGGCTCTTAGGGAGATTACAGTTTCTGCTGTAACTTTCAGTGCCTTTGATACTGTGTCAAAGGAAAGATTAACAAATAGACCAGCTCTGCTCCAAGGTCTCAGAGAAGGTGAGCTAATGCAGTTGCTTTTACACTGCAACCTGGAATATGAGTGAAGTAGCCAGGTAGGGAGATGAAGCAGGAAGGAAGGGAAGTGCTATGTTGGGAGAACTAAATACTAGCATCACTGGAGTAAAAATAGCAAGGAAATGGGGCATTTAGGAGACTTAGTGACACCTCCATACAAAGGCAGAAGTGGTGAGGGAGAAAAAGGAGGCAAGAATGATGGACCTGGACACAAAGCAGGGCAACTTTCTGAGAGGGAGACATCAAGGAGATGTTTGGGTGGGAAAGATGCTGAGTCCAGCTTTAGGGACACTGAGCTGGAAGCACCTGGAAGACAGCCAAGTGGAGAGGAACAGAAAGTTGGGTTAAGGATGTGTAGGACTCCCTTAGCAGGGATGTATACAAACCTGGGGATCTTGGCACAGAGTGTAACTGGAGCCATGAGATGGATGAACTTGCCCAGGGAGAAGGTGTACAATGAAAGAGAACCTGAGAAACCCAACACTGAATTCACAGGCAGAGTATGTTGGTTAGAAGTCAAGGGAGGAAAGGACTCGAGTGCAGCAGCCCTGGAGGAGTGGGGCCTAGAATCAGCATTTTTAATAAGCTCCCCAGTGGTCCCACCAGTGGGCAGATCACCTTGGAGAAACACTCCAATTTGCATATAGCTTAGACTACCGTAGGTAGACTCTAAATTAATGCTTGTTGAACAAACTTGTTTTTTAATAACAATATATATTGGCAATCTCTCATCATTGCATATATTCTTTATTCTTTCATTCTTTTAATCACTGTGTAGTACTCCATCAAATGGATAAACCATAATTTAATCTAGCTACTGTTTATGGACATTCAACTTACTGCTTTTCCTTCTCCTTTTTTTCCTATTATAAACAATGTAACAATGAACATCTGCCTATTCTTCTATAAGTTTATCTTATTATTATTAGTGTAAGAGCTTTATATACAATCGATATTTAGCCCTTTGTCATACACAGTCACATTTTTCCTTAGCATTTTGTCTTTGAAGTTTATTTTGTTTTTTTAACTTCATGTTTTTGCCCCGTGTTAGTTTGGAGTGTTTTTTAACATTTATATAGCCAAATGTATTCATTTTTTCCTTTGTAACTTCTTGGGTTTGTGGATCTCTTAAAAAGGACAGCTGCCCCCTAACATGTCTGGGTCTTTAAAGGATCAAGCATTGTATACCCTGTCACTCCTTGGATCAATGGTACCTGTCACTTGGGTGGAAAGGTTACTTCTGTCCACGTGAGTGGCAACAGAGCAGGCTATCTGGTTATTCAGGGTTACCATGTGACAACAGCAGTAGTCAGCATCTGGGTTGTCATTGACCACAATACTTCAACAAGCCATTCACATATTTTTTATTTGATAATAACATAATAAACTACCCAGGGACATTACTCATGTTCCCCATAGATGAACATTTGCCTTTGAAACTAATACCTCGTTATTTCAGAGCTTAAGGGGACTAGAAAATGAGTATGGCAACCTTGAACAAGAGTAAATCCCATGATCCACTTCCAGAAGAACAAATTTTATGAATAATATTCACACTTTAGGGAAGTAATAACTGTTTACAAGATGCACTGCACTATACTGTAAAAATCTTATAAAATAATTACATGGAGTAAGTCATATAAGTACTTAAAAGACTTTATTATATGCTTATGTCTAACTGAAATCCACGTAAACAGTCACATTAAACACATTCTTTATGTATTATACTTGAAAATATAAAATACAAAACCAATTCCAGTATTTCTCATATTAAACCTTTTCTTTGATTGTTTTAGCTTTCTTTGACATCATAATAAAATGAAAAGGAGAAGTACACAAACAGAAAAGTCTTAGGTAATATTTTTAAACCCTTTACTTTACCTACTGTATTTAATATTTCCAAGATAATTCTGCCATACAGGATCAAATGCATCGCACTAAAAAATGTGCGCTCACCAGCCCTCTGCAAAGAGGGGGCTGCTGGCAGCACAGCTCTACAAAGTCCTCTAGGCCTCCTGTCTCTGAGGCCGCTCAGTCACAAGCTGCCTGAAGGTTACGGCGATTCACACAGGACTAGATGTTCGAAGAGAAAGTTACGACGGGGGATGGTCCTCCCCTCGGATGCTTCGGTACTTAGCCATATCTTCTGGAAAGACTTTAGAAAGCTCTTGAATCAACAGGCTTTTAAATTTCTAAGAAGAAAAATGTACACTGTCAAAACAGCTTTGTTTGTGACCAATCACCCAAGTTAAAGACTACCCCCACCCCTAGAGCCCTCTGAACGAACAGAATCTGCTTTGCCCTCACGCAAACCCATGTTCCAGTGCTGCCTGCTCATTGCCCACGGATGCCCACCGATGCAATACTTGGTGAACCAGCAGCAAAAAACACTTGCAACTATGTTACAGGTACATTAAGAACTACCTGAAAGAGAAATTCACCTTTCAAATACAACTTCTTCCCTCCTGCTTCAAAATGAAAGCAGGCCAACCTATAGGGAGCCAGCCACACAGGTTGAAATGATTTTTGCACACAGCACACGTAACAGGAATCTTCAAATAATACTTAATTAAGCAATTAATGATTTGAACCACATCACACACACTGTGTGCAAATAGCTCAATCAAAGCTTTCAGAGCACCTGGAAACCTGTCTACACCAAATGCCATGGTTTCCTGACCCTTATCGGCTTAACATTCGTTGTACGCCAGTCTTAAAGGCAGCAAAGTACCTACCAGCACCTCAAAATCTTTCTTATAAGCTACACTAAGAAGAAGCTGTATGGATATAAACAAAGATGTAATACACAAGTAAGAATACTCTCAAAGGAGACTGCACTCCAACAGGATAATAAACACGCACTGCGTAAAGGAAGGCCATGGAACGGCACAGTGACCTTCACAGGTCTCACACAGAATGAGGCCAAGCAACAACAGAGGCAAACTGAAGATAAATCACACAGTCCCCGTGCAGTACCACCAACAGGAAACCTCTGCATCACCCACAGAAGCGTGGTGGGACCTAGCAGAACACATCTGGACCACACCCTGTCCATATAGAGATTTCGGCTTGACGATGCAACTCACTCACACAGCAGTCCGAAGACTCACTACTGATTAACACTGTTCTATGCCCCAAGGGTGACACTGAGTTCAACAGCAACTCAGTCCCAAGCTGACAAAATAGAAATGAAGCCACACTAACAGTGACAGCAAAGCCACCTCCAGGCACGCTGCCTACCATCAGTACAGATACCCTGGGGGGACACTGGAAGCCCTGCGACCTCACCCGTGACGCCTGTCACTGTCATCCTGAGTGTCTCTCTGCTTGCTCCTCACACTGTCTGACCCTAAGAGGTCACAACAGAAACGGAAACAATGCGGCTGGGCCAGAATCAGGAATGGGGATGGAGAGGCAGAGGGCTCACTGTATGAGGCCAACAGAAACGGGAAACCAGAAAAGGGACGGCACCATCCAATTAGAGGAAAAACAAACCACACAGGCTCCAATTTGGGACCATATTTGAGTGAATTTAAGTAAGAAAAAACAACGTATTTCCTGCTGTAGATGCCTCATCACAGCAAAGGAACAGAGCAGGCTCTCTGTGGAGAACTCTGTGGCAGGGGATATGGTTTAAGTCTGGAGTCTGAAGCTAGAGACCAGCACCCATGAAGAAAAACAGAATGAGGATTCAAGACTCCTCCAAACCAAAGAACCACAATTACCGGAAAAGGCCCAACAGAAGGCATCACTGACATTTAACTTTGTTTACTACCTGGCATACAATTCAGAAATCTCAATTGTGTAATGTAATAAAACAGGTGATGTTTTACCAAGTATGGAAAAGAACGACAGTCGATTAGCCAAATTTGCTTTTTAAGGCTTTCTGTCCTGACGTTTTCTGTTTACAAGAGCCTTACCTTCATTGTATCAATCTTCCCTTTAACTTGTTCATTTTTCGCCAGAGCTCTTTCCAGGCACTCTTTGGTGTAGAGTTGTGGGTTTCGACCTTGATCTATGTATCTGGAAACAGGAAACATGTAATTAACACTCTCTTGGCTGATATCTATTCTCAGTTTTCTTATGGGAGAAAAAAAAATTAGTTGTCTATAACTTCACACGGTCTGTTCAGAAGAAATGGTGTCCGGGAACCAGGTACGTTAGGATTCCTTCATTTATACAAGGATAGATGATGTGCTCTCATATCACTTGTAATAACATGAACAACTCATAAAATCAAGTAATGATCACTTAATAACCTGGCAAGCTCCACAGCCACACCACTTCACACATGCAGCATCCATGCCTCCCAAAGGCTTCATAGCCACTACCATCTGATCCTCACAACCTGCGAGGGTAGGAAGCTCTTGATGAGAGAGAACTAAAAGTGGGCCAGGGCTTCAGGACCAGCAACATGGGGGAGCCAGGGAGAGCCCTCCAAGATACAGCCTACTCTCCAGGTCCCCGTCCCCTTGGGGATCCTCTATGGAGGGAGCTTGGGCTGCTGGAAGAAGAAGGGGGGAGAGCTGCAAGTGGATAGCCGGGCCCTGCTAACCCCAAGATTACTTTAAAAACTGTTCCACTCTTTCAGTTCCATTAAATAACCTCAGTAACTTGAATCTAACAGAGAGAGGGATTCTCTCCAATAACTTAACAGTATAAAACTGTTTCTTGAAATTTTCAACACTTGTCTCCAAAATGTATTCATTATCCCAAAGATTTCACTAAGCATACTGCCTAGACAAATATGTACATTTTATCAGCTGTACGCCACCTGCCTACTTCTGTACCCTGAAGACCTTTATATCACTCAATTAAATCGAGTTATTCATTACAAAGAAACAAAAATTACCACCACCACATTGCCAAGTCTGATTTATGTATTTTAATGCTTCAGTTAAAAAAAAAAAATCTCTTCAGATCAAAGGCACTGTTAAGTTTCTGTTAATGGCATAAAAACTGGACTCTAATCATGGCAGACAGCAAAAATTAACAAATCACAAGTTCTAGAAATTCCATTGTATTGCAATGTTTTTTGAAATGATGGAATGAAGGAAGCAGAATTATGGTTAACTCTAAACAAAATCCATCCATTTCCAGAGAAAAAAAACCTTACAGATTCAAGTGTCCTAAATAGACAACCATTCAACAGCAATATTATTCAGATTGGGCCCCACTTCTGCCAACACACCACCCTGTGAGGTCAGGAAGTGCTGGACAGAAGGGCCCAGACTTACATCTTTATCTTTGTTACAGACACAATGTGTCTGCCAAGTATGTGAAGGCCACCGTGAGCCTGGAAACTCCTTCTACTTCATGCAAAAATGACTAACAGTTTGCATCACTGCTTATTAGAGGCCAGAGGCCACCCATTCCCAATACCCCAAGTGAGTCTCCCCTGCCCCTCTGCCCACCGGCTGGGGCTGGGACTGGGGCTTAGCTGGCTGAGGCCCCACTCCCCCTGTCCTTTAGCAACCTCTCCCCATCATCTTGCTCTCATTTGTCCCTCTTTAATGACTCAAATAGTTACTGGCATCTGTCAATACACACATCCTGCACAGTCATGACCAGAAGAGCACTAATGAGGAAGGCAAAGTAGCCTCCACCTTCCCACACTTCACAAGCCGGCATCATCACCAAGAGTCCAGAGCTTAGCACATGCACATGACCTTCACCCACCTGAAGCCAGAGAACTCAGTGGGGCTGAGAAAACATGACACCATGGCCAAAAGGCAAGGACGGAGCCAAGCCTGTGAAAACTGCAGCCCGAGTGTCCTATCTTTGTGGACAGCTGCTGAGTCTCTAACTTCTGGGGATGTAAAATAACAACAGCTCTTCCTTTACTGTTCAAGGAAATTGGTGGTTTACATTTGCAGTTATACCACAAAAAGGGCTAGCATGCTTCTGTAGATCAGAGCCAGTTTCAGGAGGAAGAGGCTGTCAGGAAAACAGCACCGGCTGAGGAAGGACAAGTCCAGGATTTTACTCTTAACTCTGACACTGACTAGTAAATAGCCCACTGTAGTTACTTATCAGTTCCTTCACCAGTGAAATCAGGGGTGTGATAACCAAACCAGTGTGATAAAGCTTGGATTAAAAAAAGTAAGAAGTTTATTTCCTGGATGCATTCTCTGGGCCATGACTGTGGTAGGCACATATAAACTCCTGTAGAAAACTGTGAACAGCCTTCCCAAACTTACTTGGCCTAAGAAACTTTTTTTTCAACAGAGTGTGTGTGTGTGTGTGTGTGTGTGTGTGTGTGTGTGTGTGTATATCTCCACCTCCCAGAAGTAGCAGTCCCAGGGCAGTATCAGAGATACTAGACCAGATTACTTTTCAGGTTGTTTCTGGCTATAATTTTTTTAAAAATACAACCCACTTAAGACTTTCTACTTTTTTTTTTCTCTCTTTTTTTTTTTAAAGTTAAAAAGGAAAGTTATATGGCTGTCCTTCTAGCTAAGCAAAACTTTGAGGGTCTATGATGTTTTTCCTATTTCATACGCCTCTATTCACAAGTAACTCTTTTCCAACAATATTGAGATTTTTAATTTTTTATTTTTTTTTAAATATATTTTATTGGTTTTTGACAGAGAGGAAGGGAGAGGGATGGAGAGTTAGAAACATCAATGAGAGAGAAACATCGATCAGCTGGCTCCTACACAATCCCCACTGGGGATGTGCCCGTAACCAAGGTACATGCCCTTGACTGGAATCGAACCCGGAACCCTTGAGTCCAAAGGCCAATGCTCTATCCACTGAGCCAAACCGGTTAGGGCAATATTGAGATTTTTAAATTGCTAATACCATCAGAACAGGAAACTCCATGTGGGCAGGTGTATTTGCCTATTTTCTTCACTGGCATATCTCCAGGCACCTAGGCTGTGCCTACAACATAGCGACAGGCGACAGGCACTAAAACACCGGTGACTGAAGCAGTCATTACACTACAATTAAACAAGAATTATACTTGAATGAATATCAGAAATGGTACTTACTCAAAAACTTCTAAAGGTACAGTAATATCATGAAGCTGCTGTCTGCACTTATCAATATCCTGTAAGCCGGTCACAATAAAATTCCTGGGGGAAAAGGCAAAAATGGGGGCATTTGGTTAGCTCTCCATGACACCATGGGCACCACCCACAAAAGTGCTCCTTCCACATGCAGGGGTTACACGCAGCTCATAACTTTTTGGTTACCTACAGAATTCGAAGGAAGGATTTGGAATTACAGACTATCCTCAGATCTTTGTTGATTTGCTTCCTAAACTAGCAATTGCCAATACTGGGGGGCAGGAACCAATCCCCTAGAGAACCTAATGAAAAACATGAACCTTCTCTCAAAAACAATAACCGTGATGTGCATGCGATTTTGTGTGTGGGTTTCAGAGAACACATGGGGTAGTGGACTCCAGCTTAAGAACCCATCCTCCAGGTCTGGGGGTAGGAATGCCATCACTACCTGGTTGAATTTTAGTTCCCCTGGTGGGGAGCCCTCCTACGTCACTGTCACGGGGCTAGTCCCACAGCACTGGGCATGTAACACAGGGTTGCAATCATGTCTGTATGCCTATCCTCCCTGTAACGCTGGGAGCTCTTCTCCAGAGCATTCTCTTCGCGTGTTTGCCTCGGTCCATGCCAGGGCCTAACGCTACGGCCAGCACAACGCTGTTGCCAAAAAATATTACTTAATAAACGGTCTGCGGCCTTTCTCACGCCCCCACCCCCACCCCGCCTTCAATTCCTCCGCAGGCAGGCCTCTGCAGCAGGTGGTGTCAGAGCACTCCCAGCGAAGCCCGCCTCCCCTCTGGAGAGAGGCAGGCTCCGAATTCCCCAGAGTCCAGGAGGAAACCCTGGGAGTCACAAGTGCGCAGGGAGAGGCTGAGATAATGAAGCGTGGCTCCCTCGCATGTGGCCCCAGTACAGACACTGTATTGTCCGGCACGATAACGTCTCCGCCTGGGCCCTCCAGGTCCCAGCGAGGCCAAGCGGGGAGGAGGCGGGCGGGCAACCGGCGGCAGCTGCGGCCCGCCCTAGCGCACAGCCTGGAGCGGGGGGAGTCCGGGAGGGACCAGGCCCAGAGGAAGCAGGGAGAGAGGACGAGGCTCTCCGCCCGGCCCTCGCTCTCCGCCCCCCGCTCCCGGCTCTCGGGTCCCGGTTCCCCATCCCTGAACCCCCATTCCGGCTCCCCGAGCGGACGCCGCCCGGCCGGCCCCGGGAAACGCCGGCGGACTCGGGCCGCCACTTACAGTTTCTGGTTGAGCCCGGCCTGGCTGCTGGGCTGGAAGTCGCTGACGATGATGCCGAGCTGCCGGATGTTCTCCACGAACTTCTCCAGATGCTCCTCCAGGTGGTCGAACTTCTCCGCCATGGCCCCACGGTCCGCCACAACACCACTCTCGTCGTCCGGCTCCGCCGCTTCCTGCTTCCGCCCGAGCCCACCGCCACTTCCGTTTCCTCTAGGGGCGGGAGGAGGGGGCTGGATCTGGATCCCGGAGCGCCTTGGGGGCGGGAGGGGCGGGCTTTATCTAGGCCCCGCCCCAGAAGCCCTAAGCGGCACCGGTGAGCGGACAACCAGGTGTCAGTCATCAGGACTCCCCAGCGTGCTGCAAGGGCCACAAAGGGTCTGTAGTGAGGAGCACAAGACCCCGCTCTACTTCCACTGGCCCTGAACAAGTTCCCTTGTCTCTGAGCCTCTGTTCACGTCAGGAAATCAGGAAAATGAGACCTGACAGTTACCTGAGGTTATTTTGAAAGTTTGGAAGATATGGAAAAGTTTCTAGGAAACTACCAAAAATTAACTTAAGAAATGCTAGGAAGTCAGAATAGACCCTAACCTTTCAATAAACTGGTCAGTGGGCAAATTCTCTCTTAAAGAAATGAAAGGCATCAATCTCTGACAGCTTCTTGCATTAGACTGTCTAAACAGACGCACACATCCCAGCTCATTTTTAAAGGGTTGTATAACTTTGATAGGAAAAATCAGATAGCAAGATGGGGAGAAGGAAGTAAAGAAAATACAGTCCAATCTTCCTTCTGAGAGTGGGTGGAAAAAAATCCTAAGTAAAACATAAGCAAATTGAATCAACTATCATGTGTCAGGTACCTATTGTTACATAGCAAACCTTCCTACAACTTAGTGGCTTAAAACAACCACCATCCTCCTATTTGCTCCCAAATCTGTAATGTGGGCTGTGCATGGCATTCACAGCTCCTTGTCACTTTGGTGGAGGTGGCCTCACTGGGGCTAGAGGTTCTGCTTTCAAGGTGGCTGGCTCACTTGGCTGCCATGTTGATAGTGGATGCCAGCTGGGAGCTCAGCTGACCTGTAGACGAAAGACCAGGGTCCCCCTCCATGTTAATCTCTCTGCAGGCTTTTGGGGGTTTCTCACCTCATCGTGGCTGGATTCCAGAAGCACATAGCTCAAGAGAAGCAGGCAGAAGCTGTACTGCCTTTTATGGCCTAGCCTTAGAAGTCCCATCATGTCACTTCTACCAGAGCCTTGGCACATTTAGATTTCCGGAGAGGGAACCTAAACCCAACCTGTCCATGGAAGAAGCAAATCACATTGTTGGAAGAACAATTAACATGGAAAATCTTATTGAAGCCATTTTCAGATAATACAACCTGTCACACTTCATATTGCAAAGAATAACAATGATCTACCGGCCTTTTCCTAGGACTGCACAAATGGTTAAACATCTTCAAATCTTTTCTATAACTAAGTCCATGAAAGAGTTTGGAAGAAAAATACCCCTGGTAGATTTAAAAAGTAGACATTTGATAAAATGCAACCTAAATTCATGATTAATTAAAAAAAGAAACCTCTGAGAAAATTAAGAATAGAAAGAAACGTCCTGAATCTAATAAAGGATAAATAGTAAACTCTTGCAGAAGGCAGCAGACTTAATGATGAAACTGTCATTCCAACTATTCAGTATTACTTTACACTGGAGTTCCAGTCACCTTAGAGACAGTCATGGAAGTAAGTAGCACGTGGCTATTCCTTATGTCCTTGCTATTGTCTGCCCTTATTTAGACATTGAATCTCCTGAATTGTCATTAAAATTTATTTTTCATACCTAAGCTTCCCCATTATATTTTAGACATTTTGAGGACAGGAATCTAAACTTAAATATTCCTCAGAGTCCCAAGTATATGCCAACTAGCTCAATAAATGATTTTTTATTATTTAAAGGCTACAGGAAAAGGAGACAAAGGAAGAAGCAAAAAGAAACCAAACGCCTACTTTTCCACTATGAATGTAACTCCTCAGGAAGTTATTCTTGTATGTGGGGATAGAACCTGGCAGCAACTTGCTTTCCAAATAATTAAGAGAAATGGGTTCTTCTGCAGTTTTTTTTTTAAATTGTTTTATTGCTTAAAGTATTACAAAGAGTATTACATATGTCTCCTTTTTTCCCCACCCTTGACAATTCCCTGGCCTCCCCTACCCCCCAGTGTCTTATGTCCATTGGTTATGCTTATATGCATGCATACAAGTCTTACCCCACCCCTCCTGCCCTGCAACCCTCCCCGGCCTTCCCACTATAGTTTGACAGTCTGTTTGAGGCTGCTCTGCCTCTGTATCTATTTTTGTTCATAAGTTTATAATGGTCTTTATTATCCATAAATGAATGGGATCATGTGGTATTTTTCCTTCATTGACAGGTTTATTTCACTTTGCATAATGCTCTCCAGTTCCATCCATGCTGTTGCAAATGGTAAGAATTCCTTCTTTTTTACAGCAGCATAGTATTCCATCATGTAGATGTACCACAGTTTTCTAATCCATTCATCTACTGATGGGCACTTAGGCTGTTTCCAGATCTTAGCTATGGTGAATTGTGCTGCTATGAACATAGGGGTGCATATATCCTTTCTGATTGGTGTTTCTGTTTTCTTGGGATATATTCCTAGAAGAGGGATCACTGGGTCAAATGGGAGTTCCATTTTCAGTTTTTTGAGGAAACTCCATACTGTCTTCCATAGTGGCTGCACCAGTCTGCATTCCCACCAGCAGTGCACGAGTGTTCCTTTTCTTCTGCAGTTTTGACTGATGGCTCATCTGCGGTGCCCCTTTCCTATGTTTTTTTGTTTGTTTCAGCATTTACTGAGTTGTTTCTCTCTACTCCTGTACTTGCCTGTATCGCCTGCAAGGGCCAGTTTCTGACAGAAGTGGAGATATCTGCACTGCTGCTTTTGCTTGCCTAATAACAGTCATCCTGGTCTGTTACGCTACCCTTGTATTAATTCCCTGGGGCTGCTGCAAGAAATATCACAGACCAGGTGGCCTTAACCAACAGAAATGTATTCTCTCACATGTCTAGAGGCCAGAACTTTGAGTTCAAGGTGTTGGCAGGGTTGGTTCCTTCTAAGACTATGGCAGAATCTGTTCCAGGCCTCTCCCTTGGATTCTGGGGGTTTGATGGCAATCTTCGGGGTTCCTTGGCTTGTGAAAGCATCACCCTGATCTCTGCCTGCATGCCCTCATGGCCTTCTCCCTACCTGTCTGTCTCAGAATTTTCCCCTTTCCCCCAGTCATTTTGGATTAGAGCCCGCCCTGATGATCTGATTTTAACTCGATCATATCTACAAAGACCCTATTTCCAAAAAAGGTCACATTCTGAGGTACTGGGAGTTAGGATTCCAACATATCTTTTTTCCAGGACACAATTCAACCTTCCTCTTCTGTTCAGAAACACTAGTCCCAGCTCTACATTGTGACTGCGATATTCAATATTAGTGTCAGGTCATAATGAGTGCAATTATGGTATCAGTACCTACATTTCAGCTCCAATTTTCGTTTCTATAAACTTTCTACTTCCCCTTGCCTCTTATTTGCATTGGCTAGAGAGAGAACAAAAATTGAGGTTTTAAAGTCTGACTTTTGAAACCATCCCAAATGGAGCCATTGAGATCCACTGAATACACAAGACTTTAAAAGCATTTCTAAAGCACTTATCTCACAGTTGTCCAAAATTATTGCTCCATTGACTATTCTCTACTGAAACAAAAGGCATTCAAAAGCCACTGAAATCTACATTTGAAATTCACCCTTTGCCTCCTCAAACATCTAAGTAGTGACTGTTTTCCCTTAACATCCTAAATACTGTTGCTTTGTTTGCAAGAACCATTTTAAAATTTTAACACCCCAGGCTCCAAATGTAGATGAAATTAGGCTGAAAAATTCCAGCAAGTCAGGTGTACCTGGTAGGATGCTGCATGCAGAAAGCCCTCTGAGCTCCGCTGACTGGAGAGCTGGCTGCCTTGTTTTCCCTCTGTCAACATGATCGGCCGCTGGGAAATTTCCTTACTGCTAAATCTTTGTGACCTTGGAATCTGGAGGCTGGTTTTGGGTGGTGTGTGTGTTTTCATTCACATTATTGCTGCTCCATCAGCACTCATGGCCCTTGGTGATGGCATTTGGAGCATCTTTTTGCCATTCATTCTAATTTATTCTGAGAACTAGATTCAGCTTAATTTTTTTTTAATGCAGCTATCCTGCCAAGAGGGCAAAACAGCTGGTTTCTGCTTTACACTTTGTGGATTTTCAGCACATTAGCCATTCTAGCAGGGGGAAGATGTGTAACTCTGTTGTTTTAATGATAGTGATGATGATGATGATGATGATCATGATCATGATCATACTGATGACAATAGCAATTTATATAGATTTTCTTATTTATTCTTCATAACCCTAAGAGAAAGCTACTATAATTTGCACCATGGATGGTCAGCTATGGGCCAAAAAATTTCCCTAAATAGACAATTGGGAGGCAGAATAATTCTAGCTGGTAGAGGATGCTGATATTGTTTTCTCCCCAAGAGCCACACTGACACATGAATGTTCAAATAAATTAGATTTACCACTCATTCTAGTAGGTTCACATATCAATGAGAGGGCATGACTTATGCAACAAAAAATATAAATTGTGTCTTGTTTTTAAATTATTAAGTACTAAGAAACAGTAAGATTTTCCTTCATTTTCTTTTACATACAACATTTGTGGTTCTACCTTGGAATTCTGGGTAGTGAAAGTGTAACAATATTTTAAAAACTACAAAACGAGATTACACTTATAAAGCCTACAGATTGGCAAGTGACCCAATCAGGTAACAGAAGTGTGCAGTTGACTTTCACTATCAAATTTCTATGAAAAATTTGTCATAAATTCAAGAGAGGACATGGAAAATCACAGAAATGGAATAAGAAAAGATATCTAACTCTTTCAACAATTATACATCCAGACACACAAACACAGACATATAAACTTTTTAGACTTCATACCCATTTTCACCGTACGAGTTCCTTCAGTACACTGCTTAAGTCCTGATACCACATAGTTTTCTGTAAAAATTAATGACCTTCAGCTGAAATCTAAGTCTGTCTTAAACACGCCAAAGAGAAATGAGTTGTGCTCAAGTATGCTCTTCTATGTGTGATGATCCAGAAAA